AATACGGCTCTGCAAGACATCATGTCAGTCATCTCCCAATATACGCGTGCATATACTCACCTTCAGGACGTCGGCAGGCGAGCAGACGGTCGTCGCAACGGTACCGGCGGCGAAGCTCGCAGCGGTGTGACAGAAGATGTTGTCGTCGAAGTAGGAAGTCTTGAGGAGCTCGGCCTTGAAGAAGTCATACGACGCGAGCTGGCTCGAGTTCATGAGCACCGCACGGATGACGTTGGGGCCGACGCCGCGCAGCATGCTCGACGGCCCCTCTTCGCGGATCATGCGCGCAAGCGCGTCCAGACAGTGCTTGTAGTTCAGCCGCTTTTCTGGAGGCTTAGCCATGTCGCCTTGCATGCGGACCATGATGATCTCTAGGCGCGGGGTCAGCCGCAAGCGCGAGCGTGCACGAAGTGCGGCACTTGCCTCCTGGGTTGCCAACTACTCCAGCAATAGAACCAGCTGTGGTCCGTCATCAGGCGTCTGTAGGTTGTGTGAGAAGACAGGGCGGCGTACCCATGACGCCAGCAGCAGCGAGCTTCCACGGTGGCGAGTTGGGCCCAGCACCTAGCATCTTCTTCGACTGGTCGTAGGCCCAGAAGCGACAAACAGAGTAGGTCATCTGCCGCAACCACGTTCCGGAGATACCGTCAAATAGACCCCGGTAACCTGACAATCTTCAGGGCTGCTGCTCACACGACATGTTTACATTAAACTCACCAGCGGTAGCAACAGTCTTCCTTATCGACGCAATCATCTTCTTGTCACCCGTAGCCTGCAAGCGCACCTTCGTCAAGTCAAGCGGGCTGTTCGCTCATCGTCAGCGACGGCCGTCCTAGGCGAATATCATCTTTGAGCACCAGGCGCTCCGAAACCCACTGAGTGATAGATGCAGCAATCGTAGCCGCCAACCCTACGTAGAGAAGGTTAGCACAAGCTGCTTTCGGATGAACACCACTCAATTGCCTCACCTCCTAGCCAGAACGGGTACGGCTTCTTCATCACAGTGCGTTGGGCGAGCTCCTTGGGAGCCTGCGTGACTTCGGGCGATGTACTAGCCATAGCTGCGGGCGATCAGGGATATCAATGCAGGATCAAACTGGGTCGACCTCGTCGACGTTGTGTGCAACAGAGCTCAAGGGCGAGAAGCGGCTGGCTTTATCGTCTCACGGTTGACGACTCCTCGACGCCCGGTTTGTACCGACAGATGGGAAGGAAGAGGGCAGGAAATGCGAGTACAGTAGAGAATTGGGCAGCTGGCCTGAGAACGCTCGGAAGGTGGAGGTCTGCTGACCGGTCGAATTGTGATCGCCTAGTCCTAATGCAGTAGCGAATTCGGAAGCGTTCGATCACCGTGAATTCACGAGTATGACGCAGAGGAGACAGGAGAGGCGGATGCAAGTCGAAACAGGATCGGCAGCGCATGTCGTTTAAACTGTCGGCCGAGCCTTCCAAGACTTGGAAACTGAGCACTGAGAGTGTGCGCCGCAGCCAACGACCGCCGCATGCTTTGCCCGACAGACGGTCATAGACGTTCTCGAAGACCGCAAGCAAGGATAATGAATGAGAGAAGGAACCCCGTACGGGGTTGACGTTCCGCCCATCGTCGTCGCTAGTTACAACAGTCCCACCGCGCAAGCGGATCCGTGAGGGAGCGTGGGAGACTTGATCACGGGATGTTCGCAGGAAATTCATGCCTTGTACTTCTTCAGGCGGAAAGGTCTCTAAGTCCGTACGACTGGGACGACTCTGGGATGTGCATATGGGATGTTCTGAAAGACTGAAACGCGTTTCGTCGCCGATGTCGGGTGCGGGGCTTTGAGGATTGACGAGGCTCACGAGGATAGCTGAGACAACACGGGCATAGTCGGGGGAGTGGGTGGGTGGTGACGTCGGGAGTGGTGCAGGCCAACGGACATGATTTATAGCAAGGCCGGCTATATGCGCATAAATTCCGCCCACCACTGATTAAATGCCGTGTCTCCGTTCTGGCTGTAGCGTTGCGTCAGGCATAATACGCACGTTTGACTAGCTTATCTGAGAAACGCGTATATTGGCCGTGGCTTTTATGATGATCACACGTTAGGCATCGCCAGGTATGTAGAAGCAATGCAAAAGCACTTGAGCGCGCTAAACATTAGCTGAGCGCCTGATTGGGCGCCCCGCCCCCCCCAAAAGTAGGCATGCTCGCATTAACGCCTGTTGGGACTTTGCCGTTAACCTATTCAACTTTTAGTTGAGCGCAAGTTGGACACTATGTATATCGACCTCAACGTCCCTATACCTGCAATTGTAGATGTTGCACCGGTTCGGTCAAAAAAGAATAAGGGCAAACAACCCCAGCAACCTCAGAAACAGCAGCCGGCGGTGTCGTTCACTCCTGCCCAGTTGTCTTCAATAGAGGCGAGGATTGAATTGCTCGTGTATTGTAGGTACCATTCCCTAGCGTTAGTTCTGGACTGATATAAACAGGGTAGTAGGATATACCGTTTTTGCCCTGAATCAAACAGCACAGAAAAGGGTCGACCCGAAGACCCATGTTAATATCCTTGACCCTTTACTCTCACAGCTGCGAAAGCGCAGTGGTGTAGCGTTTCTGAAACGCCTCACAATAGTCTTAGACGAGGACAGCGACAAGGGTTTTGGCCTGGTGCGTCTCCCTTATGGTCACGAAGTACGACTCTGAAACGTCTACGTACGAGTAGACAACAGGAAACGCCTCTCTTTTCGCACCTTACGATCTCATAGCCCTTCTCCCTACGACCGCAGCATCATTTTCTCTCGCATGTCTCTCACATACAAGCCCCTCACCGCTTACCGCGCACATCATTTCCCTACCGCTCACTTTACCTCGACTACCCTTCAATCTCAAGCATACAATGGTGCGCACCGCACTAAAAAATGGCACGGTCTTCGAGGTGCCCTATGCAGGTGCCCTTGGCGCGGAAAGCGATACTGCTGGAGCGCTTGTAGGTGGGAGCGAGGGCGGGTCAGGCGCGAAACGGAACTGGTGGGCAGCAGCACGCGAGGTCGTGAGGGTGACGAAGGGTAAGGGTATCATCGTTACTGGCGGTGTCATGAACCAAGTAGACTTGCGTGCACCGAGAGACATTGGGAACTTGTATGTCTCCCTTCGCTTTGCGTTCGCGACGAGGCTAACTGAGGCTTGCAGGATTACGCTACTCGGCCTGCCACAGAATCTTGCACACGATGCGTCTACTAAAATCCCACAATCGTTGATTCTCCGCGCACGTACGTCCATTTCGTTGGCCGTTCCCCCGCTTTCCCCTCGATCGCTTATCATAACCCCCAGAAACTCGGAAGACATATCGTGCCGTGTTCTCCGAGCCAACAGTGATTATCCCAGAGCCGTCATCTTCACAGCCTGCGATCACTCTGGAAGCACTCGCAGAATCCATCGAGAGTTCTCGCCCATCTGTCGAATCAGACACTGACGGAATCGTTGGCAAGAAGCGGGCGCGTCCTGACGATGATATTACCTCCCAAGTGGAGCCGTCTGTTGCGCCAAAGCAGGTTGGGAAGGCTGAGGAGTCGCTCAGGAAGAAAAAGAAGGCAGGGCGCGGCGGGAAGGACGGTAGCTGAGTGCTACGACACGGCTCATGTATCTATGACTTCGCTTGATGGTCGCAACATTGAGTTAATCACGCACGGAGGCACCAATCCTGAAGCGATGTCAACGCTTGGCAGTGGGAATCAGCATGAAGTGAGACCAAATTGGCGTAGTTCGCCTCCTGCGGCCAAAACGCGTGGTGCTTTCCTAGAACCAGCGAATTCCGACATTCAAACTGTCCGCATGTCTCGTCCCTCGCGGGATATCTGGATTTCTACGATTTGCTATTAAGTAGTCGACTGTTTTTGAGTGTGTCCGCCTCCTCTTCTCTTGCCCTCGTGCCACTTACCAGCTGGAGCGAACGAGATGGTCGACTGGGGCGATCCGGAGCTCATTGACACGATCATGGTGGTGTACTCCGGGATGTGTTGCTTTCTCTTTGGGATGTATCTGTGCGTTCATGTCTTTGCGCTGTGCGACGTCGCGCTGACCAAGAGTCTAATCAGCTGGTACCTAGCTCTGTCTTTCCACAAGGTTGAGCTGGGCCTTCTCACAGGGAGAACACAGCTGCAGCTTTCCCATGTAAGTGTGCGTCTTGTGTCTTTACTACCAGATGCCAGTGCGTAGCGCTGATCCTGTCGCTCCAAGGGACCCTACCTAATTGCACGCTACTGTTGTCTCGCGACGTTAATCATGCTGTGCGTGTGGTCTTCTTACTATTCATTATGTTGCCAGCCTGACGCTTTCCTCAGCGTCTGGATGCCTATCGTTGCTAAAGCGTTCCCGTCCCCGAGCTCATCTTGTCCTGGCACTTGTCCGTCTTCTCTTACCTTACTAGTCTACGGAAGCTGATTTATTCGGTAGGGTATACGCGATTAGTTTTGGTAAGAACGTTAGGGTCATTGGGCAGATCGTTGTAACAAACCCCCCCCCCCCGGCCAGGCCATGGGTGAGACGGCTCTCAGCGCAGCGAGCTACAACTTATCGTTACGCGCGTGCGTAATGACCTTATAAATGTCGCTTAGTAAATCCTCAGTAATAACTCCCTGCTTTAGGATGATCCTTTGGAATGAACGCAAAATTGTCTTGTGGACGCTGCGCATTATCTGCCTCGGCCAGCTCGTCTACTCTTTCGTCGGTAAGTGGTACAAGCTTATTCCTTGTGCAGAAGTCCAATGATACCCCACAAACATTCGCGCAGCCGCCATGATTGGAACACAGCAGCAGTGGGATCCAAACCACACGTATTGTACCGTCGGCATCGTGCCCAGCGCAAAAAATGTAATAATGGCCCTTCTGATATTTAGTAAGCTTCCTCCTCGGACACGTACGGGCTGACGTGCTGACATGCGCCGGCATATAGCGCTGAGCTGGGATGCATTCATCCTTGTTATGACCCTGCTCGGGATCCGTCGGAAGCAGCTCCAGGGCTCAGCGATCTCCGTGGCGCTGCTCACGCAGGGTATGGGCTACGTTGCGGCGCAAGTGACGGTGATCATCCCTGTACTGGTAAGCACCTCCCTCTATGAGGCGTCGTCACGACTGACCGTCCCCTAGCTCGGGTTGCTCTTGCAGTTGAATGGCGAGTGTCTTCGTTTGCAGCTTTCTTCGGCAAGTCCTAACTGAATGGCCTCGCCATGCCAGAGGTGATGAACGTGTTTTTCTTTCCCCTTGGTAAGCCCGCTGTTTTGATCGAATGGATTGGATAATGATGTCCCCCGAAGGATGTACTATTAGGTCAGCCTACTGGCGCCGGGACGTTAGGAAGGTCTCAAACTTTTCACAGTATCATGGCCTCGTCTGCATCAGTCACTTCTCTACTGGACGTAAAAGGAATAGAAGCGTCAGTACACACTTAGTAACTTTACCGTCAGACTTGTCAGCTGATATGCGAATTCAGTGAGATCTCACGATCAAGCTGTCAAGTATCTGCCATGCCAGGGCGGCGCAGAACTGGGGGCATTTTCACGAGTGTGATGGACCTGTACGTTGATGGCTGCTCTGTAACAATTATTTCTCCAGGTTGACAAATATATGTAGACCTACTGTACAAGATTCGAGTGTATTAACATGCGAATAGGTACGACCAGGCTTGATGCCTGTCGTCTGCCCCGTAACCCACGAACCTCCGACCAATCGTACACGAGCAATTGGTGCTTCACTTCACGATCATTACGATTACCGTACAAAGCTACACTACCTTG